GAGACCCATCGCCCGCCTTCCGTCGTCGTCGTCTTCTTCTTATCGCGAGCCACGACGGCCGAGCCGAGACAAAGTGACGCAAAGCGGCTTCTGACAGCGCTGTCCCGGGCACCGCGCCTTCTTGGGGAACTGCCACTCAGCGCGCGATTCCTCCGGGGATTTGGAGCTTCGCAGGGGGCGCTGACGCGCGTGGTCTGGGACCCTCGCGAATTCGTGACATCCCTCTGTACATGGTCTACTAGCCCTTTTTCGGCCCACGGGTAGAATCTACGTATCCTCTCACTCTTTTGCCGAAAATTTACGAACTATCAGATGTGTTTTTAGTGAGTTTACGTTTCTGAATAAATACGTATTAACGGCGTAATATAGGGAGTGTAAGGAAAGTTGTAGACTGCTACGCAAAAACGATTTCGTGGTTCTTTTCAAAACGTCCGTCCGCCCGTCCGCCTGTCCGTCTGCCTGCCTGCCAGTCTGTCTGTGAACTCTCCTATCACCTAAACCACACGTTTTTTTTTCTACAATGAAGAAACCCCTATCTGTCTCGAGTCGAAGCTTTGAGATTTGAGAACATTCTTTAAAATTGGCGGGTAGTTTACCTAGAGCCTACCGGATATTTTCAAAAACGGCTTCAGATTTTTTCTATACATTTCTTGAATTGAATTGAATTGAATCCTTATTTCACGTGGTAAGACTCGAGCCATCGGGAACGCTCTTCCGTCAGACCACGCAAATTTCGCTACGCTCCTTTCACCAACTAGTAGAGAAAGGAGGTATTTCATGAGGGAGAGACAGGCGAATTTAATTTAGCTCAGAGGCATCATTTAGGCTCGAGGACCTTTTACATGCAGGTAAATCTACACAAGACCGCCGTCTTTACTTCCCATCGGAAGGAAGACGTACGAAGGATTTGTTCGCCCTTAAAAATCCACGGCTTCGATCGGATTTGAACCCTCCAACTTAGGTATAACAGTCCGATACGCTAACCGTTACACAATCGCAGCAGATAGTTGCCGGCGATTTCATGTAAAAATATAGTAAAATACTCCTGTGGAGGTGGCATAGGTCCCAATTTCACGATGAACACTGAATTAAAAAAACTGCAAAAGTTTGATTTTTCGCTTCTTCCTTCAACTACAAACTTCAAGATAGAAATTTTTACTTCAAATAAAATTTATTCTCAATAGTACGTTCTTTCATTAAAAACATGTATATTTGTGTGAAAATTTTACTAGTTTCCGCGCAATATTGAGTACTATTTTAAAAAATTACAAAAATGAGATTTTCTTCAAAACCGCTGCAATTTTTTTAATTAAATTTTTGGTAGGGATGTTGTTAATTGTACTATCTAAGATAACATTAATGCCAAATTCTTATATTTGTTATTCTTATAGTTCTTATTGCGCGCTTCAATGTGAGATAAAGTTCATTATTTTTCAGAAATTACACAATATTAATGTTTTTGAATGATTTCTCACGCTGTTAATACGCTCATTACCAGCAATTTGTAAAACTGTTGTATTTTTGACTTAATTTGATTCTTTAAACTTCTAGTGAAATTGTTCGATAACGCAAAAAATTTATGTGAAAAAGAACTTCAAATTTCTAATTTACAGTAGCCATTTTCTTTAAAGCGGCTCCAAATTTTTCAAAGGGAATTTCATTTAGAACAAGGTATTTCTGTTGTTGCCGTTATACGTATTACTTATATATTTCATTTTTTTTACTCAGAGTGATTACAATACATGATATGGCAATTGTAAAATGTATTCAAAATATCTAAATCGTCTTTTTCTTGTTCTGAACTTGCCATTATTCTTTAATAGTAACTATTCCACAATATGTATGATTTTTATAGCCATTTATTAGCTTTCCTCAAGAGTCAGTATTTTTTTAAATCACAAATTTATAATCAGAGAAAGTATTCATAAATTCAAAAAGTAAATCATTTGCTTCATATATCTAGTTCGTTCGTCTGTGTGTATTTTCTGTGTCTTCCAAAAATACATGAATGTTTCGAAACTCGATTTTTTTTCAAGC